ATCATCTTATTTACCTGCTCAAATTAAGGGGAAATATACTTCATTCAAGATATTTTTACTTATTTCTAGATAGTTTGAGCAGTGTATAAACTATCATTTAGTTTTTAGGAGATTGTGGAACATCAGGCATACGCTGGATGTGACCGGGCCTTTATATAAGGTTAAATAAGTTGCCTAACAAGGGACTGATGCTGTGAATCAGAGGACAGAAAGAGTTTAATTTAGATAAACAGGGATGATGTCTTGTCCTTCCTCAACTCAATTTGAAATGAAGCAAATCATATATTTCCTGAGAAATTAGAATCATTTAAAAGATCAGAAACATTTCAAATGAAAAATAACAATAAACATGCTGCTGTTTTTGATCTGATCCACTGATATTGATGAATTTTTTCCCCCTAAGATGCAGCTGCGACTCGCCTTCATTCTCCTCCTCCGTCAGCTCCTCTGGACCGGCCAGCGGCAGCAGCAGGAACGGCAGGATGTCCACAGCGTCGCTCAGCAACCACTCATGGTGAGCTGCAGGTCGGAGCAGAACTCTGAATTATTCTCTAGAGGCTAAAACATCTTCCATCCAGACTCCTTCCTTTAGACACGTTTCAAAGGTCCAGTTTCTAATTTGACAGCAGCTTCTGTCTGATGGATAAAGACGCTGCTGGCAGCACTGATTCTAGGAACGTGTGGAAATGAGGAAAATTATTCCTAAGTGGTTTGGAATTGGATCTGATGCAGTCTTTTAATGGTTTGTCAGGATAAATCGTGGGGATCTGCAGTCACCTCTCTGAGGTAAGCAGGTTTGTGACGTCTGTCTCACCGTGCTCGAAGCAGCAGTTCCGCAGCGTGCCGATGACTCCGCCCCTCCGCACCAACGACCCCTCGTAGTGAGTGAAGGGCAGCAATCTCTGGATCACACACCTGGAACAAAAACAGGAGCTGCATCAGATCGACGGACAGAGCTCTGATGTCGTATCGTTTCAGGGTTCATCTATGCTGTAGGGAAGGAAACAAATTATTAAAAGACATGTTCCTAACATTTTCTCCTGAGTTATGTGCAGATTTGTACTGTGCAGCTGATAATAGGTGCAATAATTTAAAGAAGAAAATCTGGAAAATGTCGTTTAGATGAAGAACTTGGATTCAGTAAGATGAGATCTACAGCAGCAGCCATTGAAAATGGCCGTTCCCAGCCAAATGGCGGCCATCTTCCCTGTAACTCCCAGCAGAATCCCCTCCATATTTTAGAACTAATATTGATGGACCAGCCAAGGACCCATCAAGAAAATTGGGGAAATTTTGAATGGCTGCAACTGTACATGTGACAGAAGCTGGATTTTGATTAATTTTATTATCTCTGCATTCTGGTAAAAGAACAAAACAAACCAAATCCCAATTTGCGTCCGATCCGACAGAAAATCAAGCCTTATGCTGCGCTCACACCGGACGCAGCAGGAGCAGCGAGTTTCCATGCAAAGTCAATGGTTGACGCGCGTCAAGGAACAGCAAAAGGTCCTGCAGCACGTTTTGAGCAGCTGAAGCAGCGCATCGGGAGCGTTTAAGCATCTGACGCACGCAATATGCCGCAAAAGCGCTGCTGCTTGAGATGGAAAAATGTAACTTTTGCTGCTCGACGCGCCGCGTCAACCAATCAGAGAAGCTGATCTGGGAGCTGGCAGGGAGAGAGACACAGCGCTGATGATACAGAGTGCTATGATCACTTCTCTGAAACAGTTTATTAACGCCCAAATTAACTTAAAATACAGAAATCTGCTGGCAGAATATGTTTGCTTTTATTAACCTGCTGCCGCGGTGAACCATGAGGCGGCG